CGGAGCGGAATACATTAGCTCACTCGTGACCAAAAATCACTCACAACCATGCTGCATGAAGGACTTTGATAGGACGCATTTAGATGTCCAAAGTTAAGCCAATACGAAAGCGTGAATGACGGTCGAGCTTTTTCTGACGGGCTAAAACTGTGCAGACTGAGCATGTGTAGCCAAGAGATTCTTTTCCTAATCGACAACACGTCACATCATGTCGCACTCGAGATGTCGAGCGTACGTCTCTGTTTCCTGCCGCCCAACACGACCTCGCTCATGTGTCCGATAAAAGACGGGAAGATCAAGAAATACTAGATCAGGTATCGGTGCAATTTAGCTCATTGGTACCTTGGTTAGCTCGAGAAAGGAGACAGCGCCGAAAATAGGACGTCATCACTGTAGTTTCGTTCGATCGTGACTTCATAGAACACAGTAGCGCTATACACTATCCGGGACTACTGATTCCATACGGGCATTGTCTACGCGGAAAAAGCGCAACACTCAGACCGGAGAACGAGACATATAGCGTCTTTGCGACTAACGATCTCGACGCGCTCATCCAGAAGTTGTCCCCGGACGACCCGCCCCCAGCTGACGCGTACATGGCGTACGAGGTGGGAGTCTAAGACTGGGCGGAGGACGAAGAAATGGTGGTCGGCAGTACAGTAGCGACGAGGAAGGGATCAACCAGGCGCTGACGCATCACGACGTGCCTGATCTGATCATCAGCTCACCACATACGTGTTTGATCACGGCACCAGGAGAAGAGATGTGCTTGTATCGCATAGCAGTCCAGGAAATGTACACTGGGCAGTTTGCAGCAGACCATTATCGCAAAACCGTTGCACAGCGAGTGATTTGTGTGTGCATCGGCTTTAGTCACATTTCTGACTATCAGGTTCACTTTGTATCATGTGTGTGCGAGTTGCCTGTACGCCAAATAGTACGAGGGCACACATGTCGCCCACTCAAAATGAAGATTACCATTCTTAATTGGAGAGGCAAAAGCGGACTGAGGTTTTAGGGGTTGTTATCGGTATAAGCAGCCGTAAAGGCTATTTTGTGTGCGAATTGTTAAAGCATGCATCGTCTGGAAGACACAATAGCTTATATGTAGCTTCTGCTAAATGTATGAAACTGTAATATAAAATGATTTAGGTTCTTTTTGCTGATAGGACACGAGCATGAACCGTTATAGCTCGAGAGTTACGTAATTTTTCATAGTACCTTTTTTTGTCTACTTACTCACTTACAACTTTTTAGTCATACGCTAACGTTGCTGTGGCCACCGCTACGGTTTTTCGCTGTTGCCCTCGATGTCAAAGATAATACGCTAAAAAGCTATTAGCACCGACCTCAGTGGCAGAGTGGACGTCCGCTAGAACTTGGACCAAAGGTAACTATATCAATACTCGGTGGGGGTTCAATTAAAGGCGCCGGAAAAGGGTCTATATAGTAGAGGTGTATCACCGCAGAAGTGGCCGCCCTGCCGACCCGCAGAAACGGGTAAGGTCGTTGAGTGGGCTGGAGGCTCTACTGGCTAAAAAGTCCTATAGAGTAATGAGCGGTGCGGGTCCTGTAAGGAGATCAAACTTGGTCACAGTACTCGCAGCTCACCACAGGGTGATCTGAAGGATGGCGTGAAATAAAGCTGTCAAAATTTATAAGCTGACCAGTCTCCCATGCCAACCCGAACGATTTGCTGGAGGATTGTTGGTGCTCCGACCTACGTCACTTGCACATCCTTGTGTCGTAGGTCTGCAGTGGGTGTTCAGACAGAACATAAACTTCGTAGCGGCACGGTTTCAGAACGTGAATGACCTCAATAGGTGTTAGAATTAACTAGGTTGTGGAGCTGATGCTGAGAAGAAGATGGCTTACGGCCGGGGATGAAAACCGAAAAGTGAGTTGTATTCAAATTGTTCCTAGCTTCGAAAACGAATGGCTAGTAGTAGCCGGTGACTCTCAGCCACCTATTTCGTGCCCTGTCTCCACCGCTTTCTGTTTTACCTATCACTGGGTAATTACGTCTCGTAAATACCTTTCGTAAAAACTCTGCTGTGTCATATGCTGAATGAAAACGATTGCGTGGGTGGGGGACGTAACTGCGGGCGGGTCACAGTTCTGGTGAACCCCAAACACCACGTCGTGAGTGTCAGTCACAATTAACTTGTACACGGGGTTCAAACCCGCACTCACCCGCGTGGAATACCCCTTCCAAACGACTGAGCCAATCCGATGACTTGTCGTTTCGCTAACATCCCACAATATAAACCTGCCAAAGAACAATACAACTAATGCAAATATGCAATATACACCCTGCACAAGTCGCCGCATCATCACTCGCTAACAATAGGAGCCGAAGTTGCCAGTCTGAAGTTATCGATCCGGCGAGAGCAGATACCGTAAGATTTACTTGTAAAGAGAGCTGTTGCAGATCTTCGTCTCCATAATTAGCGGTTGATGCCCTTTTATCGAAAGAGGGCGGCCGACAATCACGAGAGGCAGACCAGGCAGATTTTGTCGGCCTGCGCGATCAGAGCACAAAGCTCAAGACAAATGGTGAGAAGTCGTGCTGCTGTGGCCAATTTGTTGATGTTGTTTGCACCAGGTGCAGGAGTCGTTGAGTTCATGTTTGCGTCAATGCGAAGAATGAGTCGCTGATGTTTCCGCGAGGTAGTAATCACAACGACACAAAACATTTTCTCTATGCGCACATGTCGCATCACCGATTCTTAACACTCCTTTTAACTGAAATACCGCGAAACGTCTGGATCTTCGATGAAAGGTAGCCCAAAAGGAGGACAGTAATATTGGGCTCGCTGGAGATGCGCAACTTCGTCAACATGGGATTGCTGGAAAAGGAGCTGTCATAGCGGACACTCCTATTTTGGTAAACTCCTCAGCTGCCAGTTGTGGTGATTATTGTGTGGTGGTTGTGTGGTAACTGTAAGTACCAGAATGTGTTTTGCAGGGTATAGTGCGTGATAGAGTCTGTAGTGCGTAATACAGCAGAGCTCACTTCTCATTGATCAAGCCGCTAACGAGGCCCCCGGCGGTGCCGGATCGCGTCTGACCCGCGTTTCAATATAGAAGTCATTTATCATTTTTCTTACTTTCAAGCAGATGTAGCACATGGACTCCATTACGACACGGATCAGATGACACTGAAATCAAAAGTTTGAGAAGTGATCGGGAATTAGATACCCCGGTAGTCCATGCCGTAAACGCTGATTGCTAGTATCTCGGAATTTTTGATATGACAGCTAACGCGTTAAGCACCCCCCCTCCTAAAAAGCATAATCGCAAGATTGAAATTCAAACGGATCGATGGGAGGCTACACAAGCGGTGGTGCATGTGGTGTCATTCAATAATACGCGCAGAACCTTACGAACCCTTGCTAATTTTGGTCAATTTTTATGAAAAGAACAGGCGTTGCATGACTGTCGTCAGCTCGTGGTATGAAATTTTAGGATAAATACTTTAGCGAGCGCAACCCTTATCGTCAGTGATTCATTTCTTTATATACTCCATTGAAAAAATGAACAGGCGTCCTCAGGTCGGGCGGTCGAGATATTGATATCTTGTCTAACGGAGGCCAAGCGGGTATTAGAGAACATCGAGCAATTCAGTACACATGCCATAATACGTGGGGTGGCCATGTGTGAGTGCACTGTGTCAGCGAGTGATGATGCGGTGACTTGTGCAGGGTGTATATTGCATATTTGCATTAGTTGTATTGTTCTTTGGCAGGTGTATATTGTGAGATGTCAGCGATTCGACAAAGCATTGGATTGGCTCAGGCGTTTGGGAAGGGGGATTGTACGCGGGTGAGTGCGGGTTTGAACCCCGTGCAAGTAAATTGTGACTGATACTCACGACCTGGTGTTTGGGGTTCACCAGAACTGTGACCCGCCCTCAGTTACGTCCCCCACCCACGCAATCATTTTCATTCTGCGTTTGACACAGCAGAGTTTTTACGAAAGGTATTTACGAGACGTAATTACCCAGTGATAGGTAAAACAGAAAGCGGTGGAGACAGGGCACGAAATAGGTGGCTGAGAGCCACCGGCTACTACTAGCCATTCGTTTTCGAAGCTAGGAACAATTTGAATACAACTCACTTTTCGGTTTTCATCCCCGGCCGTAAGCCATCTTCTTCTTCTCATCAGCTCCGCAACCTAGTTAATTCTAACTGGTTATGAGCCCAAGTAACGACTCCAGTATCAAGGTCGAGCCTTTCGACGGCTCGAACTATGGGTTGTGGAGTTACAAGATGAAGATGTACCTGATGTCGAAGGGGCTGTGGGGCGCGATCGCGGGCGATGAGACAACAAGTGAGGCCAAGGAACAGCAAGCCCACGTCGCGATCGTGCTGAATCTGAGCGATTCGCAGTTGATGCATGTCATCGACTCGGCCACCGCAAGAGAAGCGTGGGGACGTCTGGCGCGATTTCATCACAGTCATGACATGGCGAATCGACTGTGGCTGAAGGAAAAGTTCGCGTCGTTCAAGTATGCAGCATCAAGCATGAGCGGTCATGTGATGGAGCTGGAGGACCTCGTGATGAAGATGAAGCGCGCGAACTACGGTCCAAGCGAAGAGGACGTGTGCGCAGTACTGTTGCGGAGTCTACCTTCAAGCTTCGAGAGCTTGGTACAGGCATTTCGCATGTCCGTCGCAAGCTTCAGTTTCAGTGACCTCGTGAGCAAGTTGATCGCCGAAGAAGTGCGCCAGAATGAGGCTGCACGGGTTGAAGATGCAACGGCGCTCTACGCAGGCAAGAGGAAGGGTAAGCAGTACCCGAAGAAGCTACAAGTACGGCGCGCGAAAGGACCATCAGGAACCTGCTACAACTGTGGCAAGGTCGGACACTACGCAAAAGATTGTCGCTCCGGTCGAGGGCCAAGGGAGCAACAGCATGACCAGTCGAATGTTACGTTTAATGCTTGAGAAGGTTTCGCGAGCGACAGCTGGGTTATGGACAGTGGCGCGTCAGCACACATGTGCAAGGATCGAGATGCGTTCGAAGAGTACGAAGAAGTGCATCACGCGCGAAGCATTTCAAGCGCAAAGAGCGACGTGAAGCTGAATGTCATTGGACATAGGACAGTGAAGCTGCGCGTCTGGACAAGGCATGCGTGGATCGACGCTCGCCTTGAGAACACACTTCACGGTCAAGATTTGTCCAAGAACCTGTTTTCGCTCACGGCTGCGGCAGCGCGCGGCATGACAGTGGAGATAACGCGCAACGAGTGCGTGGTGAAGCGTGGCGGCACACCCGTCGCAACAGGAAGGAAGCAGGGGTTCCTCCTGTATCTCAATGCTGACTATGGTACGGAGTGCCACATGGCCGAAGACGATACAGAGCTATGGCATAGAAGACTGGGTCACGTGTCGTATGGTACGCTGAATGCCATGGTCAAGGACGGAAGGATCAAGGGCGCAACGATGAAGACGAACGTTGCGTGTGACGTATGCGCAACGTCAAAGCAAGTGCGCAAGTCATTCAAGACAAGTGAAGAAGACGCTGAAACCAGGGAGAGTTCGCGTTCCGACGTGGCGGTGTGCTCCGACGTTCTCGGACCTATCACGCCAGCGTCCAAGTCTGGTTTCAGTTACGCCGTAACCTTCATCATGATGAAGAGCAGGTATGTAACGGTCTATCCGTTGCGAAAGAAGATCGACGTTGCGAGTGCGTTCAAGCAGTTTTACCAAGATATCAAGACAGCATCTGGAACGAAGATAAAGGTGTTGCGAAGTGACAACGGCGGCGAATACCGGAACGAAACGATGAACAGCTTTTGCAAGGCAAAGTTCATTAAGCAAGAGTTCACGGTTCCGTACAACCCAGAGCAGAACGGGATGGCGGAGCGGATGAACCGCACGCTGGTGGAGATGACGCGCTGTATGCTCAAGGAAAGCGGCCTCGACAAGTCCTCTTGGTGCGAGGCACTAATGACAGCGGCAGACATCAGAAACATTCTGCCGAACGCGTCGAACAAGAACTCAAGCCCACACGAGATGGTGTTCAAGAAGGTTCCGCGCATCGATCACATGCGCGTGTTTGGTGCGCAATGCTATGCGCATGTGGCGAAGGAGAAGAGGAAGAAGCTGGACGACTCAGGCGTGCGATGTTTCTTTCTCGGCTATGCGAAGGACCAAAAGGCGTATCGGCTACTTAACGCGGACGATGGCTCGATCGTGAGTTCAAGAAGCGTCACGTTCGCTGAGAATTCTGTCTCGAAAAAATCGAAAAGCAGAGACACGCGGGTCTTCGATGTCATTGAAGAAGAGGAAAGTGTGGAGACGTCGCTACCCGATGATGAAGACATACCAGCGCCGGTGACCGAAGAAGAGCTGCGCACCCCAACACTTCGAGCGCAGAACAGCTCTCATCACGGACCAAGTGATCGACCAAGCGACACCATTCCTACGCGCGCATCCAGCACACCCGGAAGAAATGGAGAAGAAGAGCGGATGGTACGACCGGTTCGGAAGAAGCGCGGCGTGGTTCGCTACGAACAAGAATTTCCAAGCCATCGTCGCGGTCACTTCCATTTGGACGACTACGAAGGTGACTTCGACTCTTTCTACTGTTTCCCTCGGCTGAAGAAGATGGGGAACAAGCGTCCAGCTATCAAGAAGCAATGAAGAGCAGCTACAAGGGGCAGTGGCTACAGGCAATGAAGAGCGAGATGAAGTCGCTTGAAGAACACAGCACATGGAAGCTTGTGGACATGCCACCGGGCAAGAAGGCCGTTGGCTGCAAGTGGGTCTTCAAGATTAAACGCGATCCAAGTGGCGAGATCATCAAGTTCAAGGCACGCTTGGTTGCGAAAGGGTTCACGCAGCGTCCTGGCATCGACTATAACGAGACCTTCGCACCAGTGGCGCGCAAGGAATCTATCAACACAGTGTTGGCGATCGCTGCAGCCGAAGACCTGGAAGCAGAAAACGTTGATGTCGACACAGCGTTTCTCTACGGCGAAGTGGAAGAGGAGATCTACATGGACCAACCTGACGGTTTTGAAGATGAAGGAAGCCCGAATAAGAAGTGTTTGCTGCAGAAGGCGCTATACGGGACGAAGCAAGCGGCGCGGCAGTGGAACAACAATTGAGTCAGCACTTGGTTGATCAAGGATTCAAGAGCAGTACAGCGGACCCGTGTGTGTTCGTTCGAGTGAAAAGAGAGGAGTACAGCATCATCGTGATCTACGTGGACGACTTGATGATTTTCTGCAAGACGAAGGAGCACATCGCAAGTATCAAGACCGAATGGCTCCGGATGCTATTCGGACTCAAGAATGCACCACCAATGTACTAGCGACTTTTGGACAACGCTTTATACGGTTTCTTACGTATAACGCCAGGGACCAGATTGGATAAGCCAGAAGATTTGTTTGCGTCGGGGGAACCACACACGGAGTCAGGCCTCTCCATATTGAGTCGTCGGTCGTACATAGACGGCATGCTTATACCCGCTGAATCTTGGAACGCGTTATGCGACAAGATGGAACGGTTGTTTGAAGTATGCGACTTCTGGAATGTGTCAATTAGTGCAATCAAGAGTTCGTGGGGATGTCGAAGAGTCGACTACCTCGGCCACCGGGTATCCAGAGAAGGATTGGAAGCCCATCCAAAGGACCTTCAAGCACTTGTCGACCTACCTCTACCAACAACTCTAAAGGTCATGCAGTCGTTCCTCGGAAGGCTGAATTACTATAGCAGGTTTACCGAGGATTATGCTATCTTTGCGTCAATTCTATACGTGCTGAGAGACGTGGAATTTCACGCGTGGCGATGCAAGCTACAAAATATGGTCACCACTTAGTGACCACGGGAGAAGATGAAGAGAAATGGTCTAGAGTTCAAGTGGCTTTTGCTATGCTCAAGAACGAGATTGCTACAGCGCCTATTCTGTGGCATTTTGACCCATCGAAATAAGCGGTGATTATTGTCTACGCGAGCAAATGGGCCATCTCAGCGTCGTTGGTGCAGTACTATGACGGCCTGTTTATGCCAGTGAGCTTCATGAACCGGACGCCTAAAGCAAACGAGTTGAACTACAGTACCGTGGATAAAGAAGTGTTGGCGTTGTTGCGGATACTGATTTGTGTTATGATGCTGGTCACCCGATCTTTCAAAGTATTAACGAGACACTCGACGTTGGTCTGGCTGGTCAAATCCTCTGGATTGCGGAGGCGTTTGGGAAATTGGGCCGCTCTCTTGTCCCAGTGTACACTAGTGATTGTAAAGTGCAAGAAAGGCAAATACCAGGTGCTGGGGGTGTTTGCAGTCAGTATTACCCTTCGCGAGAGTGTAGACTCGATCCTATCGGCTATCACACCTAAGAAACAGGCGAAGAAGAAGACCGACCTACCTACGCCTACTGTGGAAAACGACGAGGAGCTTCATGTACTGAGCTTTGATGTAGCGGATCGTGTGAAACAAAGAGGAGGAGCTTGTAGCGCCAGCGCATGGAGCCTGCCTACGTGGTTGGTAGTAAGCGCTGCCTCCAAGTACCTCAAGGAATCCACGGTGAATGAGGCCGAATATGAAGGCATGTTGCTGGGTTTCGAGTTTCTAGAACGTTTGGAGCGACGTCTACTAATCATCTGTGGAGACTCCAATCTGTTTGTCCGGCAGACGCGAGGAGATATCTAGTGCAAGGCGTCAGGGCTGTCTCCATTGCGTGCAAGTGCTCTGGGTAAGCTTCAGTCCTAGACTTTCCACGAGATGCTCTACGTAAGCGCGATTCGAACCAGAGTGCGGACCATCTGGCTAGTGAAGCAGTACACAGACAAGGAGGGTTCGAGTCAGTACCGAGAGAAGAGTGGCCAGGGTTGGAAGTGGTCAACCGACTCCCAGAGCTGTTAGTCCCCAAAGACGAGGATCGGACGGTTAGAGTATTCGCGGTGACCCGATCAAGGCCACCCATAAAAGTATCGGAGAAACGATGCAAAAAGAAGTGGTACAACAGCTGCGAGTGGAACGTATCCGGAAGGCTCAAGAGGAAGGGAGCTGGATAATAGACCTAGAGGCATATGTGAAAGAAAGCCTAGGCGGCCTATCGGCAGAATCGGCACAGTCATACAGAAAAATGGCCAGAGATTACGAGGTCAATGAAGAAGGATTACTGGTATACTGTCCCGTCCACAAGACCGACGAGGGACCGAGAAATGACCGCCCGACTGGTGATCCCCGAATCCCTCCGGACCGACGTGTTACATCACTACCACGCTAGTCTGGAGGACGGTCATCAAGGGACAGGTCGCAGCTACTACCGGATTCGCCGGTATTGCCATTGGAGAGGCTTTTTTTGAAGTGTGCAGCGGTATGTGGGATTATGTGTGGATTGCGAGACGGGAAAAGGGGAACATACCCTTCAAGGGACAACCCCAGGCAACGTCAAGGCAACCTACCCTTTCCAAGTCATTGCAATGGACCACATCCCCTCTTTGTCCAATTCACATGAGGGAAACAATGAACTATAGATTTGGGTCGACTTATTCACTGGGTATGTGATGGCCAAGGCAAGTGCTTCGCAAACTGCTCAGACGGTAGCCGAAGGGTACAAAGAATGTGTTTTTCGACGTTTTGGGGCCATCGAGGCGATCCGCCACGACCGGAAACCCGGTTCCATGTCGGAATTCTTTCGAGCGTTTAATAGCATGGTGGATCAGTGTCAACGGGAAACGATGGATTGCGGACCCTAGGCGAATGGGGCCACGGAAAGAATGGTTCAAACACTGACAAGATCGATCAAGATGTATGTTTCAGATGTGGCGCAGCAAGATTGGGACGAATACGCAGAACTGCTAACGTTCGTACTGAATACTGCACGCGATAGGGTGCGAAAAAAAGACACCGTTCTATTTGGCCTACGGGTGTGACGCTAGAACCACCCTGGAAACAACGTTGCCAGTATTGAACACCAGATGCAAAGGGTCGGGATCTCGAAGGTGGAGGTACCACATTCAGAGTCACTACCAGCGAGCAAAGGAGCGGATGAATAAGCATTTGCGGTCGTCATGTCAAGCCTGGATGCTAACCCATAATTTACAAGTGTTCGGTCACAGGGTTCGGCCAGGTATCTAAGTGTGGCTCTACCTAGATAATGTGAAGGAAGGGTACGCTAAAAGTTGGCTCACCTCTGGCATGGTCCGTTCCGAGTTTTGGAGTTGATCGGTGAATATGCTTCGCGGTTGGAAATAAGAGATACGAAGTACCAGTTATTTCCGATCGTTCACATTTCAAAGATGAAAGGAGCTCCCTGATCGTCCAGGTGACCGGCTGATAGTTGATGAGATCGATGGAATCCACTTTGATAAATGTTTGTTGCCGGAGGATAGCTGGACGCATGAAATGGAGGAAGTCGAATACGAAGTGAGGGAGATTTTATAAAGCCGTGTCAGCAAGAAGACGCTTTACGGTCAGCAACGGCGCGAGTTCTTAATCCGTGGGAAGGGTCACGCGGACCTCTCATGGGTCGACGAAGTGGATTTGAATTGTGGATTTGAATTAGAAGAGTTTGAGCGCAAAATGATAAACCTCAACCGCTTCGAGGTGATGCATAATCATGAAGACTAGTAACAGGGAAGTAGACCGATCACGCGTTGGTCCTCCAGGTCGTCTGTGGATTGGCCATGACCTCCGTGAGTAACCCAAAGTTTTGAAACCAACCAATGCTAGGTATAAGACGACCATGACTCAATTGGAGTGACTAAGTGTATCCTAAGGTATACCGTGGTTTATCCGGAGTCGGCTATGACTTTTAATGGGTGATTAAGGCTGCGCAACGCTGAAAAAGGAAAAGATGTGGCCAGGTGGTGATGAAGGAGTCAGAGCCGGACCCTCAGATGGTGAATCGGATCCCGGTGATGACATGGCTGCTAGCACACAAATATCACAGTGCAAATATATCGGCCACAAGAGAAGATGAAAATTACGGGACTGGCATGGTGAAGACATGCTCTTGTTCGGACCGCAGTAAGGTCGAGCAAGTGCAAGGGGCGGCTGTGGTAAAGAAAGTACTTGGAAATGAATGGAAGTAAGAGTTAATGATCCGGACGGACATAGAACCTCGCATTCAAGAAAGGGACCGGAGACCTAGATAGAGGTCTAGAGGTCACAAGAAAAGAGTGGCCGTTGGGTCCAACCGTGACGAGCGGTTTAGATTACCACTAACGGGGTCAAACCGACCGACGGTACCAGTTAAACGGTATTGACATGGCTCCGCCCCGGCTCGATCTCAACCACCCGTCGGTTGGCCTGGTCGTTCAAGGTGGGCCTCGGCCCCTCAAGGTCTGGTGGCTCCTGGCCACTCAATGTAGAGAACCCGGGTGGGAGGCAAAGGTAGAGTAAAGAAGTTTAGAGGATAGGAAGGCATTAAATACTACTCAATTGCGATTCAATTAGCATATGGCACGACGTGTCATGCGCTAAGAAGCTTTTTTTTCTACCGACCTTTTCCGGGCCAGGGATCGGGTTGGCCCTCCCGTCGAATGGACAGTTGTTAGTAAGAACCAAGTGTAAATAGAACCCCAGTAAGTAAATTGGCCTGTGGGTTCGTTGAGTATCACCCCCAACTTAATCCCGCTGTAGGAAGCGGTCTTGAGACCGTAGTGGTAAGGTAGAAACGTGAAGGCCAG